CTCCTCTCCTCTCCTCTCCTCTCCTCTCCTCTCCTCTCCTCTCCTTTCCTTTTCTTTGATGGAGGATGGAATCCAAGGCTTGCAGATGCTCTACCACCTTACCCTCATGAGATTTTTTTTGAATCAGTAGTGAGGTTCCAGGGGTCCAAATTCACAAAATCCAAGAAAAGTTGAGAGCAAAAAGTTTTTCTTACTTCCTTTCCCAGGGGATCCTGACAATTGGCTTCTTATGGTTCTTCAGGAGAGATTTTTATCTGTCTTTATTACCTCCTAACTGCTGCCTACCTCTCCATCCTCAATGTATGTATAGCACGAGTTTTGTTCAAGTCATGGCCTACTTTCAGGTTCTGAAAATAAATTTTATCAAACATAATTCATCTCATTTGCTACTCAGAATAAAGATAAGTGATCAGGGGTACAGTCCACAAAGCCTAAAACTTTTTCCTTTAGAGAAATATTAGCTGGGATTAACCATGGAGAAATCTTTTCAGAGTGAAGACGTGTTGGTGTCTGCAGTCACAGAAGCTGTGAATAAGCAGTAGCACTGTCATGTCTAGAAAACACTGGCTCACTGCCATGTCTACTGCTTCTGGCCCTCACAGTCTCCACTTCCTGTTCTGTAATGAACTCTGAGCCTTGAGAGGAAGTGTGTAGTGTAGCTGTCTCACTTAGAGCTGAACACTCCCAGTCTCTTATTCTGTATGCATGGACCAGTTGGGAGTCTGCAAATCATCATCTATTTAAAAAGAAGCCTCTCTCGTGAGGACTGACAGATGCGCTAAGGGTGTAATGTTCAGTACTTAGAAGTTTAGTGCTCTGTCCACTTAATAGACTAATAGGAGTAGGCTCTCCTCTCAGGCCCATGTCTACCTAGCTACAGGAATCTTGACCCAATTAACAGTACTAATCGTGATTTTTGTCTTGTGGACCAGACCTTTAATGCCAGTAGAAAGAGGCTGTTACTCCTCATCTTAGTTTTCTACTGCTCTGATAAGAACACTGTGACCTAAAGCTAATCTAAAAGGTTTATTTGGATTGCAAATCCTGGGTCACAGTCCACTGAGGGAAGAAGGTAAGGCAGGAGTCTGCAGACAGGAACTTGGAAGTAGGAACTGAAGCAGAAGCCCTGGAGGAACACTGCTTATTGGCTTGCTTAGCTTATTTTCTTATGGGACCCAAAGCCACCTGCTCAGGGCAGGGCACTGTTCACGGGACTCTCACATTAACCACTAATCAAAAAAATGCCCTTAGAGACCAATGTGGTGGAGGCAACTCCTTTACTGAAATCATCCTTTCCCATGAGTGTAGTATTGTGTCAAGATGACAAACACTAAAGAGCACACTCCCATACTATTCATGCTACTGCTACACCAGTACACTTCCTGTATGAATGCTGGGAATTGAACCTGGGTCCCCTGGAAGATCAGCCAGTGATCTTAACTGCTGAGTTATCTCTCTATTCCCTTTTAAAAAAATGATGAACTTTATCACCACCAGCACCACCACCAGCACCACCACCACCATCATCATCATATATAGAAAAAAAAGGAGTGGCCAGAGGGATCTGGTATCTCCAACTTCCATGAACACTAAACTCACATGCATACATGCCTACACAGAGATACACACATACACACATACAATTAAAACAAAATCCTAGTCTGGTGTGATGGCACACACCTTTGATCTTTGTACTCAGGATTCAGAGACAGGCACATCTGTGTGAGTTTGAGACCAGCCTGGTCTACATAATGAGTTCCAGGATGGTTGGAGTGATATAGTGAGGCACTAACTCAAAAAATAAGAGAGAGACAAAATATTTGATCACACTGTGAACCCCAAGATTGTGTTATTTACAGAAAAACTGTTTCTAGTTGTGGTGTGGTTCAGCCCTTAGCATACACCTTTATTCTCTCTGTCTGGAACACAGACATGCCCTTAGTACACACCTTTAATCTCAAACAGTGAAGGTAAAGTTAGAAGGAAGCAGCCATGTTTGAAAGTGATGTCTGATTGAGTGCCAGACAAAGTGATAAGTCAGAGAAAGATTTGACAGAACAGGATATGCTCAACTCTCATGAGAAGAGAGAGGAAAGGAAAGCTACTTAAGAGGGGAGTACAGAGATGGGGGAGGGGAGGGGAGAGAGAGAGAGAGAGAGAGAGAGAGAGAGAGAGAGAGATTGATTAAAGTAAGAGAGAGTGATAGCTGTCATGACAGGATGGTGAGAGAGAGGACCCAGAGGAAAGCTGTGAGCTGTGAGAAATCACAGGAGCCAAAGAAAAATGCTTGATTTTTGTTTTAGTTAGGGTTTCCATTGCTGTGAAGAGGCACCATGACCAAGGCAACTCTTATAAGGGGCAATATTTAATTGGGGCTGGCTTACAAGTTCAGAGGATCAGTCCGTTATCATCATGGCAGGAAGCACGGCGGCATGCAGGCAGGCATGGTGCTGGAGAAGGAACTGAGAGTTCTACATCTTGATTTGAAGGGAGTGAGGAGAAAGCTGTCTTTCAGGTAGCTAGGAGGAGGGTCTCAAAGCCCACCCCCACAGTGACACACTTCCTCCAACAAGGCCACGCCCACTCCAACAAGGCCACACTTCCTAATAGTGCCACTCCCAGGGCTGGGTATATTCAAACAACCACAGCTTTTACATCTTTTCAGGAGATGATAGAAAGTTCTGCACCGCATGATTTAGTGTGGGATGGCACATGTGATTAGCAGAACAGAGTACCAGGTACTAGGTAGGACATAAATTAGTTGTAAGACCACATGCCTTCTTCCCTCTGTCCTAGGGAGGGAGCTTCAAGGGGATATGGCCTGATTTCTTTAGACTGTGAGATCTGGCTTTCTAAGAGTGATCAGGTATAAGCCCATGATTTAATAGTGTAAGCATGTACAGTGTGTGTGCACATATGTATGCATGTGTGTGTGCGTGCGTGTGTGTGTGTGTATGAGCATGTATGTGTGTGTGCATGCATGTATGTGTGTGTATGTTAATGTGCGTGCATGTGTGTGTGTATGAGCATGTGTGAGACTGCACACATATGGAGGTCAGAGGATAACTATTGGAAGTCAGTCCTCTCCTTCCATTATGGGCCCTAGGGATTAAACTCAGGTCATCATGCTGGTGTGGCAAGCACCTTTACCCATTGGAGCCATCTCTCCACCCTGTTTTCTCTTTTTATGGGAAGTATTTGTTTTGTAACCTTTTCTGGAGAGATATGAACAAGTATATGTACCCTCCAGACCAGACACCAACAACAGACTGAAGAATGATTCTGTGCAGGTCTAGCTCTGTGAGCCAATGACTTTAGATGGTATAGCTTCCACAGCATAGACAAGCAGTTACTCACAGGAGCATGCACAGCTTACAAACAATCTTTCTCCCTGGCAACCATCAACAACAGCCTTTGAGCTCCTCCCTCCCTGCCAGATGGAATACTGACAGGATCAATCTCTTTCTGGTTTCTTCTGGATAATAACAGCTGTTGGGCCTTTGAGATGACAAGGGGCATTCTGGGCCTAGAAGACTTGCTACACAGTGACTGCCTTTTCTGTTGATACTTTTTTTCTTACCTACTTCCTGTCCCCTCCTACCTCCCCCCCTCACATCTTCTGTTCCTCCCCCTTCCTGGTTTGCAGGAACCAACAGACCAGAGAAGGTCATCTGGAGTGTAAGCTGCAAGCCTTCCTTTCCCACTTTGTCATTTATCTTTTGAGTCTGCTTTTAATTGTTTTTAATTTTTACACACTTAGTTAAAACAGTTATGTGGTTGAAATATTAATTAAATATTGTCTGGGAATTTCATATGTGTGTGTAATGTATTTTGAGCAAACCTACCTCTTAGCCCCTGCTTTCCCATCCTTCCCTGTCACCCCACCCCTTTCCCGTCCTAACTTCACAAGACTTTTTCTTAAAGCCAGTTTTTAAAATCCTCTCAGAGTTTGTGTCATTCTTAGAAAGTGCTTTCCTATTCTAGGATTACATTTTTTTTTTTCATTTTTTACTTTGATAATTCTTCCTCCTATTTATGGGAGTTCAGGAACCTTACTTCCCTCTGGAAAGTAGAGAGAATTAAGGCCTCCTCTCCCTACCTTCAGAGCATCCTTTATTATTCCCTCTCAACAGAGTGGTTGTTGCAGCCCCCCAGGAGGCAAAGGCTGTTAACCAGACAGGTGCCCTCTACCAATGTGACTACAGCACAAGCCGGTGTAACCCCATCCCCCTGCAAGGTGAGTCTCACCTCTCCCTCTGGCTCCTGAACAGAGTCTTCCTGTGTGTATCCTGCGTATCTTTGGTGGGGCAGGGAGCACCTGGCTCCCTAGCCTCCGGCTTGTCTACAGACCTCTCAGGCAAACTTGCTAAGTCCCCTTTTATAGTCTAGCCTCTGTCTCCCAGGCTGAAGTCACTCTTTTGCTAGAATAAATAACACTTAAGCATTTTGTATGTGTGTGTGCATGTGCCTGCAGGTACATGTGCCCCGTGTGCAGCTGGTGGAGGCCATACCCACCATCGGTGTTGTTCTTCACCGTGCTCTACCTTGCTTATTTTGAGACAGGAGCTCATTGATTTAGCTAGGCTGTCTGGGCAAAAAAATTTCTCTTTTTTCAGAAAAAAAATGTTTTTGTTATGAGTATTTGCCTCCATGTACGTCTATGTACCATATGCATGTCTGAGGCCACAAGCGAGTGTGAGGGTCCCTGGAACTGAAGTGACAGGCAGTTATGAGCCACTATGTAGGACAGTGTCCTTAGTTGCTGAGCCGTCTGGCCAGTGAATTTCAGGGATGCTTCTGTCTGTTTCTCTAGTACTGGGGTGTGGGTACACCCTTGTTATTGCATGAGTTCTGGAGACCCAAACTCAGGTCCTCAGGCCTTCATGGCAGTAACTATCCTGACTGAGCCGGCCATCTTTCCTGTTCCAGACACAAGTAGCATATAAGAGAATGATCTCCCTCCCCTCCCCCTCTTCCCTTCTCTTCCTATACTCCTAACCTCTCTGCAAGGTCTCTTGTACCCAAGCTGCCCACAAACTTGCTATGTATCTGGCAATGGCCTTGAACTTCTGATCTTCCTGCTCTGCTCCCAAGTGCTGGCACCACAAGTAGCCTTAAGCTTTATGCATGGCAAGCCACATTCTACCAACAGGGCCACACCCACTTCTTCTTCTTCTTCTTCTTTTTTTTTTTTTTTTTGGTTTTTCCAGACAGGGTTTCTCTATGTAGCCCTGGCTGTTCTGGAACTCACTCTGTAGACCAGGCTGGCCTTGAACTCAGAAATCCGCCTGCCTCTGTCTCCCAAGTGCTGGGATTAAAGGCATGCGCCACCACCGCCCGGCTCCACATCCACTTCTGATATTGTGTTTCATTATGACAGTTTCTTTTTCATCCTTTAGTTTAGTTTTTTTTTTCTTTTTGAGACAGTGTCTTACTGTATAGCCCTGGCTGGCCTGAAACTTTTTATGTAGACTAGGTTGGCCTACAGTGATTTTCTTGCCTAGGCCTCCTAGCTACTGGGATTAAAGGTATTCCTCACCATGCTTGGCTGACATATTGATATACCTGTACAATATATTTCAAGCCTTCCATCCTCTTTACCCTCTCCAATCTCCCCTGCCACTTCCTGCTGGCCCCTATTCCAAATAGTCCCCTACACTTTAAAGCTTATTTTACTTAATTCCATCTGCTTCTATGCAAGTGACATAACTTCATTCTTCTTTGTGGCTGGATTGGACTCCATTGTGTAGACTACATTTTATTTATCCAGTCATCTATGGACTGGCCTCTGTGCTTGGCTCTTGTGAAGAAGACAGTGAACATGGACGTGTACCCCTGCCATGTCCCTGCCTGACTGCTTCACAACTCCTCTAACCCCAAGGGTCATTGTGCATACGTCTGTCTTCTCAGTACCTCCAGAGGCTGTGAATATGTCCTTGGGCCTGTCCCTGGCTGCTACCACCAACCCTCTGCAGCTGCTGGTGAGTTGCCCTCGATCAGAAGAGGGTCTTGAGGGGAGAGATGGAAGAGTGGGAGATGCTGGGCTGGAGGTCTTGTGGAGGGGCTGCTACAGAAGGACAGGAGGCAGGGGCATCCCTTTGACTCCTGCTCTGACCCTCAGGCCTGTGGCCCTACTGTGCACCAAAACTGCAAGGAGAACACCTATGTGAATGGACTGTGCTATCTATTCGACTCCAACCTGCTAAAGCCACCCCAGCAGTTCCCAGAGGCTCTCAGAGGTAAGTCCCTTAGGATGGGCTGAGACGGTGGCTGCTCATGGTATAGTGGTACATTGGGGATCTGGGTACAGGGAGATTAGAAACCCTGGGTCTCTTGGAGAGAAGTTAAGGTAGCTTCATTACCCCTCACTTCTGGGAGGAGAAGATCAAGCCACTTGGCTTTACAGATGTCCCAATCATTGTCTTTGGAGCGATTGCTGGGGTCTCCCAAGCATCGTCTTTGTTGTTGTTGATGGAGTAGACCATGCTCGATGCTCCAACATCTTCCCACCTATTCTGTCTCAGTCATCATGCTTCAGAGCTTCCCACTGCCTCTCTTCTCCAAGGATCCTTCCAAGATATCCTCAAAGCCCTTATGCTGGGAATGTTTTTCACAAATCCCAGCTCATAACCCATTACTAACATTCTGGATTAAATATCATCTCTTTTGAGTCATTCACAGTGGTACTTCCTTGTGATGCCAGCATCAGGAGACCAAGGCAGGAGTTTGAGGTAGCATGGGTTTGAGGCTAGTCTGGGCTGCATGTCAAGACTCTGTCTCAAAAAAATAAGAAATAAAATAAACATAAAGTCGCTGTGCGAAGCAGTCTTTCCTCTGCTCTGTAGCCTTCTAATAGCTCACTATCAGCCATGACACTCTTGTTGACATCTCACAGGACCTAGCTACTTTGTTGTTGCTGTTCTCTTCTGCTTTCCTCTGTGAACAGGTCCACTGCCAGGCACATTTTGTATGTCCCGTGTCTATTGCTACCTAACAATTCCAGTGATTTAAAACTGTGAACATTTATCGTCTCAAATTTTCTGTAAGTCAAGAACTTTGGCATGGCTTAGACTTTACTTCTGAGTCTCTCAGGAGATTGAAGTGAATTTGTTTAGCCAAGGATTCCGCCTCATTTGAAGTCTTGACTGGGGCCAGGTCCTGCTCCAAGCTCATGTCTGTGCCTGTAGAACTGGTGAGCTCTGTTTCTCATAGGCTGGAGGCTGGGGACCTCCCTCTGCCTCCCTCATGGTCACTTCATGCATCAGCTGGATCATGTCAGAGTGAAGGAGAAGTCGGTCTCTGACTAGAGGGGTAGTAAGGAAGGTAGGGATGTGGAGAGGTGTAGCCAGCATTTGCTATTGTGTGGGTTCTTCTCTCTTCCACCCTTCTCCACACTCCATAACACTAGATAAGAGAGAGAAAAGGATAGAGAGGAAAGGAAAGAGATCCTTGAGTAAAGCCAGGAATTGAAAATGGAGCAACGTTATTGTTAAACCCTTTCCTGCTGATGGGTGTGTCGCTCCTCAGGGCGAGTTTGATCTTCACCATCAGGATATCGAATTTTTTCTTCCTAACAAACCACAGGCAACAAATGTAGAAACTTAAAATTAATAAAAAGCTCCAATTTTGGTTTTAAACTCAAATATTAAAGGCCCCCAAGGCACATCCGGGGAAGAGTCCATCCCAGAGGCCTGAACAAACGTTCCAGAGGAAAAGGCCCAAGACAAGGAAGATAAGCCCTTAAAACAATCACCTGGGTAAACAGAAGCCACTGGGACGAATTCCTTTAGGTTATAAAGATAAAGGTGTAAATTTGAGTTACTTAGGAACTGAGTCTGGGATTGGAAACTACACTTGAGAATGAATGTTTGAAATTTTTTAAAAATATTGTCCAAGAAGCAATTAACTGTCTTTGTGAACTCAGTATATAAACCACCCTTTACTGCAATTCAGGGTTCCCTCTCGCCTTTGAGCAGAGGGGCCCTGGTGGACCAGCCACTATCAATTCTTCAAAAAACCTCATGCAAATTGCAGCGAGTCCTGACCATGAGTATCTCTGGGGGAGCTCATCCTGTGGGTTTGGGTCTTTATCATCCAACACAACAACCAATCAACAACTAGTGAACAACCTATCTACAACCCCCAACCAGCCATCTGTTGGGGTCCTACCATTTATATACCCTCTGAAAAATTCCCAGGATTCCAAATGTCACACAATTGCAGAAACCATCTGCAAAAACATGCTTCTGCTAGAGTGCAAGGCAAATCATAGTTGCTGGTGTGGACAATCTGAAGCAGCAGTTTTGTTTTAACCTGGGATTAAAACAAAAGCATTTTTATCTGTGTTTTTTAAAGAAACCAAAACTCTTACTATAGAGAGGTAGATGAATAGATGGGGGTAGAGATGAAGGGTGGGTGGGGAGGAAAGGCGGGAGAGAGACAGAGAGAGAGACAGAGAGGAGGGACAGGGAGGGACATAACAGAATTGTTACCAGGCTATTTCAGAATTAACATCTCATTTCCTCTGCTATATTCTAATCCTTTGGAGTAAGTTAAAAAAAATCCAGCTCAGCTAGGTATAGTGGCCTATACTTGTGATCCTAACACTTGGGAGAAAGAGAAGGAGAAGGAGGATCAGGTGTTCAAGGACATCTTCAGGTACATAGAGGAGGGAGATTGCCATAGTTACTGTTCTATTGTTGTGAAGAGACACCATGACCAAGGCAACTGATTCTTTGCTTTTTGTTGTATTCTTAGTCTCCATTAACTTAACAATTGTCCTAAGATTTCTTTTCTTCCCTGGCATCTCTTGGATGTTCATTCTCTAGGGATCTCTCTAGAGCCAGCTTTAGTGGCTTTTTTTTTTTTTTATGGTGGTAAGTTTTTCTTTTTTCTTCAACAATGACAGACAGTTTTCAGAATTGAGAGTATATCAGCCTGGGTTAGTAGTTGTGGCTTTTCAGAACTTAATATGCATTCATTATTCTAAGCCCTTCTGGATTTCAGTATTCTCAACTGAAATTAAATTAAATGAGATGAAATTAAAAATCAGCTGTTATTTTGATGGGCCCACCTTGAATGCAATTAACCTTTCTTGCAGGTTTTCAGTACACTTCTCTTGTGTTATATATTTAGTGGTTTTCACTGTCATATGATGTGTGGTTTTTCCTTAATGGTCATGCCTACACGGTGTTCTGTCTGCCTCTTGTACCTGAGTAGGCATCTCTTTCCCTAGAGTTGGAAAATTTTCTTTTATGATTTTATTAAAACTATATTTCTATGGCTCTGGAATAGAACTTTTCTTTTCCTATGTTCATAACTGTAGATTTTGTCTTTTTATGGTATCTTAAAGATTTCATGTATTCCGTCCATATGTTTTTTTTTTTTTAAAATTATCATTCTTTTTGACTGAATAATCCAATTATACTATTTTTTCTTTTTAAAACATTTATTTATTTATGGTATGCATGCTCTGTGTGGATGTGCCCCTGCATGCCAGGAGAGAGCATTAAATCCCTTTATAGATGGTTGTGAGCCACCAATGTGGTTGTTGAGAATTGAACTCAGCACCCCTGGAAGAGCAGCCAGTGCTTAACCACTGAGCCATCTCTCCAGCCCCTCACTACTTTTTCTTCAGGCCTTGGTTGGGAGGGGCTTTCTACTGAGATTTTGTTTTTTTTTCATGGAAGTTTTTTTTTTTTTTTTTTTTTTTTTTTTTGGTTTTTCGAGACAGGGTTTCTCTGTGTAGCCCTGGCTGTCCTGGAACTCACTCTGTAGACCAGGCTGGCCTCGAACTCAGAAATCCGCCTGCCTCTGCCTCCCAAGTGCTGGGATTAAAGGCGTGCACCACCACTGCCCGGCTGGAAGTTTTTTTTTTCCCTATCATCATCTGTTTGTTTTTATTTAGCATTGCTTTTTGGACTCTATTTCCATCCCTAGAATTGACTTTCTTAATTCACTCAACTATTTGTGCTCTCTTTGAACTCATTCAGGAGTTTATTCATGTTGTCTTTGAAATCCATGAACATATTTGTTATTGTTTTTTCAAATTTGTTGTTTATAGTTTCATCAAAATGACTCTCAGAGAGGGCCAGTACCATTTAGCTGGTAATTTGGGTGGAGATATGCTGTCTTGGCTTTTCATGTCTTGATTGTGCTATTGTTTTGGGACTGCCACATCTGTAGTTGTTTCATTGGCTGACTCTTCCTGGCGCACACAGATTGAATATTTGGACTGGTGCATGCACCGTGGTATTTCTCCTGGTTAGCAGGTCTTGAAGTTTAGTCGTGGTGAGACTTAGTACTGATTTGTGGGTGGATCAGCTAGGTTGACCCTTTCTTGGCTACAGGGAGAATGGCTTCCAACTTTTCACAGTGTGTTGAGGGTTGGCTTCTGACTTCATGAGTGTGGATTCAGGGTTCATGTGTGCTAGTAAGCTGGGTGCTGGGTGCATGGTGTCACATGGATCTGACTTCAGGAGTCTGGGTGTGCACTGTGTGAAGGTCAGGGTATTATAGATGGCAGCAGCAGGTTTCATGCAGCTTCTGACTTCAGGAGTTGGTTTGTGCAGTCAGAGTGTCATGGGTAAGAGCAAGATTTCATCTGACCTCTGGTCTTAGGAGTCAGAACCCATGTAGTTTGCAGGCCGCAGAGTACTGGTGTTACCAGACTCAGCTTGTGCCCTAACAAGCTGGATCCATCTATCTTTCTGTCTTCAATGAGCTAATTGAAAGAGCTGAATTAATAGTGAAAAATAGAAAGAGAAAGGTTACTCAGTGTGGTCACATGGGGAAAGAGAGGCGAAGGCAGTGACACTCTTCCCAGTCTGTCTTGAGAGGAGAGTTCCTAAAATAGAATGCATGAGATTAATCCCCCCAAACTGTCAGCAAGCATTCAACTTAAAAGCTTTCTTTTATAAACTGACTTGGCCATGATACCCCCTCACAGCAATACAGTACTGTATGTACTCCATAGTAACCTGGCCCCAGAGAGTATTCTGTAGTTAGATGGGTACCCACCAAACACCAGGGGCGGGAAGGCACCATGAATATTCATTCCTGGACTAGGACATGCATTAGCTGTTTCTATGGATCCAGGATGTGATGGTGTTGTGGGGGCAGATGCAGTGTTGGCTTTTTGGGGGGAGCATAGCCATGTGGGTTCCAGGCAGCTCCCTCACCTGGGCTTAGTGTCTGTGAGGGCTGCAGAGATCCCCACTGGTGATCCGTAGATATCCAAGGTGGTGAGAGATATTGGTACTCTCTTGGTTAGCTTCCTGTCATAGGGAGAAGCCTCTATGAGTTCAGCACTGATCTTGGCTTTACCGTCCAGGTGTGGAACCTCTGTGGCCAGCCTGGATTTTCGTGTTCTCTAGGTTCATCTCTACTCCCTCGGTACACTCTGACACCCATCCCAGTTATTTTCATCCAAGTACAGTTGATTTTAGCCTACCAAGGGCTTCTGCTCGCCCATCTTGCTGATATGTAAGAAATCTGTCCATATTTTATTTTCTTTCATGCAAAATCAGGATTCTTTTTTTTACCCTCCCCCACCCCGATTATCCAGCAGAGAGCTGACATTCAAAGATGAGATTTCTTTCTTTCTTTCTTTCTTTCTTTCTTTCTTTCTTTCTTTCTTTCTTTCTTTCTGTCTTTTGAGACAAGGTTTCTCTGTGTAGCCCTGCCTGTCCTGGAACTTACTCTGTAGACCAGACTGGCCTCAAACTCAGAAATCCACTGCCTCTGCCTCCCAAGCGCTGGGATTAAAGCCGTGCACCACCACTGCCCAGCTAAGGTGACATTTCTAATGTATTCTTTTTCTCTCTTGCTCAGGATGTCCTCAGCAGGAGAGTGACATTGCCTTCTTGATTGATGGCTCCGGTAGCATCAGCAACAGTGACTTTCAGAAGATGAAGGAGTTTGTCTCAACTGTGATGGACCAGTTCAAAAAGTCTAAAACCTTGGTGAGGGCTGGTGGGTAGCCCTATGTAAGGCTGACAAATTCATGACAACCAGGCTGCCACTGTTCTCGAGTAATAAAAAGTGTGACTTGGTAAATTATAGACGATTGTGTCACCTTGCCACACTCTTTTCTGCTGTGCCTGTCACAGTTTCTGCATTATTTTGGCTCCTGTCACTTAGGTGGCCCTGACTCACTGATTGATTGATAGGGATTGTCCTAGGGAATGAAACCCTCATGCCACTCTTGCTAAGCTCTAGTATTGATATAGAGATATGTACAGCCCTTGCTGGGGTGAGGGGATTGGGCACATTCTGTGGTGTAATGGCAGTTGCTTTGTTCCTAGTTCTCTTTGATGCAGTACTCTGATGACTTCCGGACTCACTTCACTTTCAATGATTTCAAGGGAAACCCTAACCCAAGATCACATGTGGGTCGCATAAGGCAGCTGAACGGACGGACAAAAACCGCCACAGGGATCCGTAAAGTAGTGTGAGTCCCTTTGTCTTTGCCTTTAGAGGGAGGCGATGGAGCTTTTAGTTGGATGGCGAAGGATCAGAAGAGTTGTTTAGACAGGGATGGGGTGAGATATTTTCCAGAGGGCAAAACTATTTGAGGACTGTTCTTGTAAACATAGGTTGCAGTTAAAATTAACCGTTAAAAGAGGCAGCAAAAACACGTGGAAAGGTGGACTGAGCCTGTTCTGGGCTCTGGGCTGAGTGCCTGCTTAAGCAGGGTGAGGCCCTGGGAGCGATCCACAACAGTGAAAGGAAAAGAAAAACCAAACCAAAACAACAAAAAGACAAAATAAGAGGAGGTCAAATTCAAGCCACCAACCCAACCTTATGTTCAGTGTGGATCCACTGACAGTTTTAAGCAGGCAGGGCTGTTCTGTCTGTGTTGTTTTAATGACTGCTCTGTTTTGTGTACAGAGGTGAATGTGGGGTTTTGGCAAGAGTGTAAGACGATAAGGGTCTGGCTAACAAAGTTAATAGAGTACTTGCAATGGAAACGCAAAGACATGGGTTCCAGCTCCAGGACCCATGTGGAAAAGCCAGACACAGTGGAAATTCATTTGTAATCCTGATGCCAGGGAGGCTCAATGCCCAGGGATGATATCCCAGCAAAATAACTGAGCTCCAGGCCAGTGAGAGACCCTGTCGGATGGATAGCTGCTGAAGTATCCAGCACCCTGCCTGATCCTTTTTCCCTTTCTTCTCCTCCTCCTCTTCCTCCTCTTCCTCCTCTTCCTCCTCCTCCCCCTCCTCCTCTTCCTTCTTCTTCCTTCTCTCTTTCTCTCTCCTTCCCTCTTTTCTCTGTCTCTCTGTCTCTGTCTCTCTCTGTCTCTGTCTCTCTCTGTCTCTGTCTCTCTCTCACACACACACACGCACGCACGCACGCACGCACGCACGCACGCACGCATGCACGCACGCACGCATGCACGCACGCACGCACGCACGCACGAAAGTGTAGGAAAATAAGCTAGAAAGTTTGTACAGTACTGTGAATAAGATTTGGTTATGAATCAAGGCGGTCTATTTCTATTTCTTTACGTCCCCCCCCCCCATATATAACAGAAACAAAGAACCTGCGTATGGTGGTGCATAACTGTAATTCAGGAGATAGGGGCAGGGGGATCACCAATTTGAGGCCCAGCAAGACTTTGTGTTCAAAACATAAAAAACAACAACAAAACCAATCAAACTCAGGGGAGAACCACACTTAGACAGCCAGGCTCAGCATCTGTGCTTCTGACTGTTGCTGTTTCATGCCGGATGCTAGCAATATCTCTGCCCATTCGTGTGTCTGTCATTCTCTTCCCTGCACAGGAGAGAACTGTTTCAGAAAACCAATGGGGCCCGGGAGAATGCTGCAAAGATCCTCGTCGTCATCACAGATGGAGAAAAGTTCGGGGATTCCTTGAATTATGAGGATGTCATTCCTGAGGCAGAGGCAGCAGGCATCATTCGCTACGTAATTGGGGTAGGAAATACAGATACTGGGCTTGGTACTTCTGTGGAGATTGGAGATTTTTTAACTGATGTGTTCTGTCTTCAATATGCAAATTTTGGTAAAATTAAAGGGCGGCAAGGGCCGTTTCTGGGCCATATACACAACTACCCCATAGCTATGCCACAATAATGCTGTATGTGTGACAAATGATTCAAAATTCAGCGGTTTTATAAGTCAGCTTGTGGTTTGGCAAGTTGTTTCCCTGGTCTCAGCGAGGCTCACTTACTTATCTGCTGTTAGCTGCAGGCTGGGACAGATCTGCCGAGCTTGCCTTTGCTCTCCCCACTTCTGGCTAGTTTATGCTTGTCTGCTGGGAAGATGGGCTTGCTGGGAACAAGCTGGGTAGCTTGGCTCTCCTGCTTCCTGGGTCTCACCTGAGGATGCGTTCATGATGGAGGGAGAGGAGAGAGGGAGTAGATGGTGCGGGCGAGGGACTTTATTTTCAAACTTCTATTTGCATCACATTTGGTAACAATCAGGGTTGACACAGAGCCAGTGAGTGGAGCAGGATGTCCCACCGGGAGTAGATGGGTGTGGCAAAATTTGGGAAAAAGGCTTGGGTCCAGAAAGAGGTAAAATGTTAGGATCCCCAGTGTAATCATGCTATGTGCCACCTTTAATAACATAGAAAAAGGTATCACAAAATGATAGTGTGGCTTGTAAGAAGGACGTTCACATATAAAAATGCTCCTCTTGGGGCTGGAGAGATAGCTTAGTAAGAGCACTTACTGCTTTTCCAGAGGACCAGAGTTCAGTTCCCAGCACCCAGGTCAGCTCATAACAGCTTGTAACTTCATCTCCAGGGGATCTGATAACTCTGGCCACAGACCCACGTGTGCACACACACACATGCACATACACAGACACACAGACACATACACACAAAGACAGACACACACCGAGAGAAAGAGAGAAATAAAGACTTATAAGCAAAATAACAACAACAACAAAGGAATCTCTTTTGCTGGGGCGATGTCAGCCCCCTACCAGGAGGAATGATGGATGAGCATCTGGGGACCAAATTGCTCCCCGTGCTATGTACAACCTGCCTAACTGTCCCCAACAGTCTGGTTCTAAACCACCTTCTGCTGAACTCTTTATCAGACAGAAACAGTTTCAGATTCTTTCATCGAGAAATTTTCTCTGGTATATGGGACTGCTATCATCAGAGAATACATAATTTAGCGTTGGCTCTTTGGCAACAGGTGGGAAACGCCTTCCGCAAACCAGAGTCCCGCAGAGAGCTTAACACCATCGCATCTAAGCCAGCTGTTGATCACGTGTTCCAAGTGGACAACTTTGAAGCTCTGAAGACCATTCAGAACCAGCTTCAGGAAAAGATCTTCGCTATTGAGGGTGAGCCGGCCCAGTGCAGACCAGCGGTTCCTACCCCAGCATCAGCGCATCTCCAGCCATTCGGGTCTGACTTGCTCCATCCCCTTGAAATAAGCAGAGCCAGGTCTCTAATGACCACATCTAGGCTATAGGATGATTAAACTGCAGCACAGTGATTCAAATCCTACACAACAGTTTATCAAAAATTTACATGTGCTATGAACAGTGTTTGATTTACTGTCATGTATCCTCTGCCTAGAATAGTGTGTGCTACAGAGAAATGCCCAACAAATGTTTATTGAGTACATTTACAAATTAGAGAATTTCTTTTTTTTTGAGGGATATATTTTTGAAATATAGTGTCACCTTGTAGCCCAGGATGACCTTAAACTCTTGGCAATCCTCCTGCCTCAGCCTCTCAAGTGCTGGGATTACATGTATGTGCTACAACACCTGACCAAATTAGGGCATTTCATACATAGTCTGGATCTGTGCCTTCTGTGGAAAGGTTAAACACCTTGAGGACCCATTCTTCCTTGAGAAAAGGCAGCAGTAGCTAAAGGGCTGCCATCCCTGTGAGGTGCCTGTGTCCAGTTCAACACCAGGGCCTCCCTTTGCCTGGGAATGAGAACACTTGACGTTTTGGGTATTTGGTCTATGCCCTTCTGCTTGTTTTAGCGAGGAAAGTTTTCTTCCTTACAGGCACTCAGACAGGAAGTACCAGCTCCTTTGAGCATGAGATGTCTCAAGAAGGCTTCAGTGCTGCCATTACCTCTGTGAGTGGTCCTGTGTTAAACTGGGGGTGAAGATGGGGCACAAAAGAACGAGGAGGTGTGTAGCCGCATGCTTTTCCACCCAGCCTCTTTGCTCCCAGAAGAGGCTGAGTTATATATTAATTAATGCTTAGGCTGTAAGCTACAGCTTGTTCCCGACTAGCTCAGTTACTGATGTAACCCATTTAAACTATTCTATGTCTTCCACATGGTTGGCTACCTCTCCTTCAGTCTCATGCAAGCATCTCCTCCAGAGTTCAGGACCAATCTTTCCAGCCTGAGTCTTTCCCAGAATTCCTCTCTCTCCCTGCTATATGTCCTATCTCCTAATCCTACCTTAGCTCATTAACCATAGCCTTCTTTATTGATAAATCATGTTTCCATACATCATAGAGGAGATTCTCTCTATAGAGGCGTGAGGGTTGGCGCTTTTCTCCATGGTAGGTTCTCATGGGGAGGCTTTTTGGCCCGTGCCACTGGTCCTCTCTTTCTTCACCTCTCAATCCTGTTATGCTCCTTTCCCCAGAACGGTCCCTTGCTGGGCTCTGTGGGGAGCTTTGACTGGGCAGGTGGAGCCTTCCTGTATACATCAAAGGATAAAGTCACCTTCATCAACACAACCAGAGTGGATTCAGACATGAACGATGCTTACTTGGGTGAGTGAGGAGAACAGGCGTTGCTCTGGGAAGGGGTGAGGATGTGATATCTCTCAGCTGACGGGGATGCTATTGGCTCTTTTCTTGGCCCTTGGGATAGCTGTAGAGATTCTTTTTTAAACATCTAATTTTAGTTGTGTTCATAATAGTTATACCAACACATCAAGCATGTGGATGCTTTAGTCCCCTACTTGAGAATAGCCCATCTGTAGAAAGGAGGGCCAGGTCTGCAATGAAAACACTTGGTTTATTAAAGCATTCTTTTTAGGTTATGCTTCTGCAGTCATCTCGAGGAACCGCATCCAAAGCTTGGTTTTAGGGGCACCTCGATATCAGCATATTGGCCTGGTGGTGATGTTCAGGGAGAATTTTGGTGCCTGGGAGCCCCACACTGACATCAAGGGCAGCCAGGTAAGTGTGGAGTGTGTGAAGAATGAACACAGAGGCATCCAGGAACTGAGAGACTCTAGAACAGACCAGTGCCATGTGTGGCAGTCTTTGGAGGGCTTTATGTTAGAATCCCAGGTCAGCTTTGTATGTGAGAATGCTGTGCCTTTGTCTTTTCTTCCTTTTGCTGTGGTACCAGGGTTTTAACCCAGGGCCTCACCCAGGCCAGGCAAGTGCATTACCACTGAGCTATAGTCCTGTGCTAGCCTCAGCATTTCCAGCAGTGACTAGTAATATTTGACCTGTATAGAGCATTCTATGACTACCTGTTTCTGGAGCTGGCCTTTAGCCTGGACATAACCAATATAGCCACACTAGATATTAAAATATGGAAATTTTTCTATATCTGTTGATGGCCTGAGGAGATAACTCAGACATGAATTTGATGGCCAGAACCCACATTAAAAAGCTGGGCATGGTAGCATGCTTGTGGTCCTGGAGCTGGGGAGGTGGAGACAAGAATCTTCTGGGATTATCTGGCTAGCCAGAATACCCTACTTGGTGAACCAGGCCAATGAGAGACTCCATCTCAACAGACAAGGTAGATAGTTGTAGAAGAATGACCCCTGAGGTTGACCTCTGGCGCTGTCTGTCTGTGTCTGTCTCTCTCTTTGTCTCTCTCTCTGTCTCTCTCTGTCTCTGTCTCTCTCTCTCTCTCACACACACACACACAGACACACACACAGACACACACAGAGACACACAGACACACACACACAGACACACACACACACAGACACACACACAGACACACACACACAGACACACACACAGACACACACACAGACACACACACAGACACACACACACATGCACACACACACATACACACAGACACACACACACATACACACAGACACACACAGACACACAGACACACACAGACACACACACACAGACACACACACACACACACACACACACACACACACACACACACACAGAACTCCATACACATATACACAAAATACTGAAGTAATCCCATATCTGCTGATAAATGGATAAATGGCTGTTCCTCTAAGATGCCTCATATGGTCAAACTGATGTCACAGTTCATGGGGAAATCTAAGAGACCCAGAGAAAATCTCAGTATACAAGAGGGTGAGGTAAGAGAATTACAAGTTTGAGGTCAGGTTAGGCTACATAGTGAGTTCTAGGCCAACCTGGGCTCTACTGTTTGAGACTCAGTCTCAAAATCAAAATAAAACAACAGTGAAACCAATCACAGCCCCCACCTCCCTCTACAAGTAGATAGAGAAAAAAAAGTAGGTTAGTAGACACAAGTAGATGAAGTGGGGTAGACTCTGAGAATGACTAACCACAACATGGTTTCTATCTGGGGACACTGTTACGGATTTAGATCTGATAGTTACAAAACAGGAACATAGTCGACACTACTGAGTTTTGTACTTTAAGACAAGAGAATTTATGTTATGTAAACTTTCTCATAAAAAGGCTGTTTTGAGAAAACCCAGTGTAATTCATCCTAACAACAGGGTCTTAGAGCTGTGTAGTTACATTAGGAGGTACAGTAGGGTAGATGGGCTCTGACTTCCTTTCACAATTGAAAACTCCCAGTGAGTTGGGAGCTACAGGGCATGCCCTCAACTTGAAAAGGGTCATTTACAAAGCCTCCAGCTGGTGTCATCTTAACACTGTAAACAAGGTGACTCTCTACTCTTACTGTTTCTCCATTTTTTTAACTGCACAAGAATATTGCTGAGCTATTTATTGAGTTCAGCTTTGTCACAGGAGTGTACAAAAGCTAGCACTTTAGTTGATTTTACATCCAGTCAAGTTGACAGCCAAGGTTAGCCACCACACCATCTATTTGACAGTCAGGGT